CAGCCGTTCAAACCACTCTGGTCACGCCTGTTGCTATACGAACTTGAACCATCTCGAGCATCATTTGCTCTGTGCTTCAAGTCGCTGCTGATGACGCTGCTTCCGGCATCAGTTTTTGGTGTCTCTCTTCGTCTGATGCCTACCCTTTGACCTGTCCAGCAAGGGAGGCCCTGCCAGTAGCTACGCTACCGCTGGTATAGCTCTCAGGGTCCTTGGCATACTCAAACCCCCTCACCACGATAAGGTGGAGACACCAACGAGGGGGATTTATAACACAGGCACTATAAAATCTCACTAACCCATTCATTTCCAGTACCACTGCACTACAGCGCACAATGAAGTCTTCAAGTCGCGCGTTAAATCTTCACTGGCCGACTTCTAATTGTTCTTCAACTATGAATTTCCTGTGGCTATATCCTACCGAGACTGTCTTTTCTCGCTCGGAAGCCGGGATCGTGGGTTCGAATCCCACGCAGGGCATGAATGTTTAGTGTTTGTGTGTGCGTGTGCGCGTTTTTCTGTGCTTATGAGGCCTTGCGACGAGCTTATCACCCGCCCAGAGAGTCCTATCGAATGTCTAAAATCTAGTAAACCGAAGTGAAACGGAGAGTTTCATGGAGGTAGGCCAAGACCCAAATTGGGGCTGTAGCGCCAAAGTAAAAGAAAATTGCTACTGAGAACTGACTTATAACTCCCCTGAAGTGAACTTGCTTTTGAATTCACTTCTCTTATAAGCACTCTAGAAAGACCCCGCTGAAAACACAGTCGGTATTTTTGATGACGTCACCGCGTTGCATAGCACGGTCCGATACCCGGAAATGTGCTTGCCGAGCCGTTGCCTAGAAACAGATTGCATAATCCCGTTGTTCTATAGTTGCTTGGCGCAGAAAACATAGAAAACAGTTTCCCCTATGTTGTTGCATGTTGGGAAGTGTTTACTGAGAATGCTTTTATAAAATCTGTTGGAAATTTAAAATTTTAAATAGTACTGTGTTGGGGTTAAGCCTGGTGCAACGCAGCGAGGAGGAGACGTCTACTGAAAAGTCTGAAAACAAGATCATGAGAATACTATTTTGATCTAGAGAAGACGAAATGGCATGTAACTTAAGAAAGCGCGTGATAAGAATCTTCATAATTCGTCATGACATCGAAAAAAAATATGGTGGGCGATACATGTCCTGAAGAGATAAGAAATTAATAAGTTTTTTTTTCCCCCCAGAAAGACTGAAGACAATAGACTATTAGAAAGACATTGGTGTAGTAATATTAAAATAGATCTTAAAGAAAGAGGGTGTTCAGTTCTTAACATATACTTGTATGTGTACCAATATGTATTATCACGTGTATGAGTGACTATAGACGGGGTTTCCATTAGTGAATGAGTTTATTGACCACTTTACCATACGACTCGGAACTACAAGTAATTGCAGCGCTACCGCTAATCTCCACAATTCACAGATCACCACAGTACCCGCTAAGCTTTATCCAGCCTCCTGTGTCTTCACCAGCTGTTTCCTGGCAACGGCTTCTAACAGTGGAGAGTCTTCAGCTTCACGCGCTCAGGTCTTATCTTCACAATCTCCCGTACGGAACTCAACTCTCAACTAAAAGTCAAAGTTATGTTACGGCAGACGGTCAGTCCGTCAGTCTATCTTGGAATAAAACAAACATTTGAGGCTCAAGAGCAGATCTTTGTTAGTGTCAGACAGTTGCAGTCCTGTTGATGTGGGGCGCTCTCTCTGAGGAGAGGACGGGTCTGCCATTTGCCAGAGTCACAGTCCGCAGCAATAAGTCTGTTGGCAGTATGTACAACTTAAATTTTACACGTTATTAAATGTACATAAAATACATAAACAAGGCATCTCTCAGTCCAGCTCAGTATAGCAGATCATGCCCTGTCCGTAGTATCTCCTGCTACAACGGCAGTCTAGTCACTTGGACGGCCGTATACCTGACCGCCGCCATGTTTAAGCGTCGTCACGCTAACCCTTAAGGCTCCCACACACAGACGCGATACAATTCGGGACGATATAGCACTCGGGACGAAAGCGGCTGTTTACCGAGTGGGCCGCGCACACAGCCGCGACACTCGGGAACCTCGGGAATCTTTGACACCCGATAACCAGCTGGCCATGACTCTCACTCAATCAGTATCTATACGTACGTGAAACGACATGGGTAGCCAAATGGAACAAATAATAGAGTTCGTCAAAGAAAATGCTTTATTGTACGATACTCGTCATCCGACGTACAAGGATTCACGTGCTAAGGATAGGAAGTGGAAGGAATTGGCTGTTACAATGAACAGAGACAGCAAGTAGAAATATTTGTATATATTTATATAGGGTTAAGTATACAGCAACTGTGGGCATTCTTAACCTTTAAAGCCGGACTTCTGAAATAGTGGTAAGCTTGAGCTGGCCGAAGTTTATTTAAATGCCCGCTGCTGGTGCCCGTTTAAATGCCCGTTGTTACTCTGCGTTTAAATGTCCGTTTCTGTTAGTGCGCCTAAACAATTTTAAGCATTGTGTTAAAAATGCTGTGTCTAACTCAATTTTTATGATAAATGGATGGAATTAATTTTGTTTGTATCAGCAAAGAACATTCTGTCGCATATCATAACGGAAGATTTGAAATTTTTTATACAAATTATACTCCATTTTCAATTTTTTTGTCTTTTAATTTTGATGAGTACTGCAAAAATGATTTCCCAGTTCTTCACAGAGGCGTTCTGCATTATAAAATCAGCCCTGCTTGAAACACTTGACAAATTTTAGCAGTCCCTGATGTCATAAAACAGATGGAATCAATAAAATCATTTGGCCTTCTGCTAGCACTGCTTACACTCTTCGGATTTTCGAATCTTTTGACTGAAGGTCAGAAGAATGAAAGAATGGCTATTCAAGAGAAAGCTAGAGGGGTCCCTTCTTCAGTTCTAAGACTTCCGTTATAGCTGCAAAACTTACTGCCCTTTCTATGGGCCTGAACAGACAGCTGCATCGCGGCTCAGATTCAGAGCGCGGTTCGTTTTCTGTGTCTATATATACATCAAGCAAATAACAACAAAAAAAAGTATGTGCATCGAATTTTACTGTATATTTTTAACACATTAATCTGCAGAATCTGCAATAAAAGTACTGGCTCGTGGATGAGTTTGGGCATAACTCATACGTATACACTTTTTGTCGTTGTTCACCTAGGTATCATTTTAATTTTTCTATTAGGGCTTTACTCAAGTCTGTCTGGTAATTACTATATTTCAAAATAAATATTTAGGACTGTGCATGCGCTTCTACTAGCGGCGTGTGCGCGCGCTTCCCCTAGCGGAGTATAAATGCCTGAGTGACCAAAACGGGGTACTTTGGCCAAGACGACCTTACCCATGACCCTCACGACTGGCACAAACTGGGCACTTCGGCACTTCGGCACTTAAAGGTTAATGTAGGCTATGCACCAGTTCCGTTCACTAACACGAATTCCAGGGGCAGTCATCTAGTTGAAGTACGCAATAAATCGTTCTCTAATGGCGTAGCTAACGTTTGCCGCCCTTGGGAGACGTAAAGGCTGGATAGGAAACATTTCTCCTTCCAGTGGCTCCACTCGTAGCAGTTCTTCCCTGTACTTTTCATCGCAATTTTTGAGACGTAGAAAATTATGAAGCAAACACGCTGCTGATACAGTGTGTTTTATATTTCCTTCTTTCAGTTCTATGGGTCTCAAAAAAATCCTCCACTTCATGGCAAGAATAGGCCTCCGCCATTTGGTATATTGTTTAGTGACGTCTTGCCTGATGGCTCTCAGGATTTCATCAAACCTGTCAATATTCATCCTGAAATATATGTAGAACCGTTTTTCGTCCTTCAGGACTTGGGGCATCAGCGTATGAAACTCCCCCAGTTCCTCTCTTGACAAGTTTATATCATGAACCCAAGCATTCGTCTCTTTCGCCTAAAATAGNGGTCCTCTGGAAGATCAAAATCGTCATTCATGAATTTCCTACCAATCTGAGACTCATCGAAGATTCCTCAGTCACTCCCCCAGTTCCTCTCTTGACAAGTTTATATCATGAACCCAAGCGATTCGTCTCTTTCGCCTAAAATAGGAACACACATAGCAACCACTTATACATACGTAATTAGAGACTCGTTATGGAATTGTAAATATTTGTACATATATGTGACATACTGAATATGCGGAGGAAAGAACTACGCAGATTTAGTGTTCAGTAAAATACTTGCCGGGAGTCACCTTCGTCTTCATGAGGAGCGACAGCTAAAAGCAAAACTTCTTCCTCCAAAGACGGATCCATGACTATTTACCGCTGTGATACCGCGCAATACCGAGGCGATATACCGACTGCGATAATATCGCGTTCCTCGGAGTACCGCGCCAGTGTGAGGACCTCCATTCACCGCAATGTAATTAGATATCGTCCCGTACCGTACCGAGCTGAGTATCGCGTCTGTGTGTGGCAGCCACGTGACAATAAATTTCCGCGATCGTCTCTTTCAGATGTCGCGCAAGGCACACTGAAGATGGCACGTTAGGTATTCCTATCCTTGATTCTGAATTTCTAGGGACTGAGGAAGGTTATGATGGATACTTCAAGTAGAACTGCAATTCTTTTTCGAACCGAGCACCTCCGAAAGAGGAAGTAATTGTGCAGTTTAGGCTACATTGCTTTAGATTCGTGTAAACCATTTCCAATAGGGAGAAACTTGAGGAATGTCTGCAAATGAATGTATCCGTCACATAGGTAAGGCCACTCACTGCGGGGATTTCCACGCCCAGCTCACAAAGACAACGTCTCGTCTTGCACCGCTAGATAAGTCTGAAGATAAGCAGGATTTATCCGCAACAATGTATTGTTCTTTAGTAGCTTCACATACTGATAACTGTTTATCTTATCTGTGTATAGATAACAGCTATATTTGCGTAGCAGATATATTTTAAATAGAGTAGTTCCTACAGATTCAGACGAAAAAGCTGAGTTTGTTTCCTTTAAGGAGGCCATTTTCTTCTTTTGCTACGAACTGTTATTGCTATCGTTTGCAACAATACTGACGCGAGTGAGTGGTGCTGTGATCTGTAAGCCTGTATACAAAAGCGTCGTTGCCGAATGGTGATACAGGCAATACTGAGGGCAGAAGTAAAACTGTGCGTGTGAATTTACACACTCCCATTGCACCGATTTTCATATGGCTAATATCGAAATTTCTCTTGCTGTTTTGGAAGAGAAAATGTGCAGAATTTTGAAGTTGCAGCATGAAAAATTGAACATTTATAAGTTATACTTAAGAGGACCTTCACGGTTACTGCAGACAGATTCTTTACAGCCTTTGTTAAATATCATAAATTCTTCCCCGTCCAAGTAGGAATTGAGCCTCAGTTTAGGTTACGTTTTCGGGATAGTCTGCAAACGCAGTAAGTAATTATACATGTAAATATATCGGCGGTTATTTAAATTATATTAATGCGGACTGTTAATTTTACATATTATGAAATTTCACAACAACTGCTTCCTGTAAGACACTATTGTAGTGAACAGACTGTGACATGCGCTGTGTTCATCAGAATGAAAGCAAACACAGAGAAAGAGAATAGGGTGTAAATACTGTAGCATCAACAAGTGCATAAAATTCTTACGAGTGTCGAACTTCAAAACAAAATTGTTCTGTCGGTAGTATGGGCGTCAGTATCCAACAGTGGAGGGCCACGATTGGCCAGTGGAATCATGGAAGACCAAGGAAGTGCCTAACAGTAGCAATTGCCATTGCTAGGAAACGACAGCAAGACATTCATATGTGGTTCAGACTTTTAGTACTAGTTTCTCTACTTATCATCGGCTGCGTTGAACTGAACCCAGGCCCTAACAATGAAAAGGTAAGATCTAGCACATATTTCGACGGAGCGCAGATAGGACAGGGAATAGCGAGTAACTTATTACATAGAAATTTGTTCGGAGAATATCGTGGAAAGAGAGCGGCTCGTAGACCTAGATGTAGTGGGAAGGAAAGGAACATTATCGAAAGAGGCAGGAAACAAACAGTATGTGTAAATATGAAGTGTGTTATGCCGCAAATTTCGAGACTGGAAATCAAAAGCATTGCCTAAATGTTACGAGAGTTTCAAAAGCGTTTTACAGCAATTAGAGCGATGATGGCCACACATAGGCTGTGGAACGCGGTCAAACAAACATCTTTAGTCAGCTGCGGAGTCAGCTGTTATGATGTATAAAAAAAGGTTCGAAGGAAAGACAAGGGGACCGATCAATCGATTATTGTATCGTTAAAAACGTAATATTCGACCAGCGGCCGGAGGCTCTTTCCAATATGAGTACTACAAGATGGTGGATGGCGATACTTGTCTGCGTCTCTATTCTAAGTAAGTCTCTTTGTTCCTACTAGTCATGCTATTAAACATTATTATTGTTGTGAACTTGAAGTGCAGTCACCAGTGTGCCCTACGAGTGTCAGGGTAGAATAGGGTAGAAATTGTGTATCGAGTGACAGGCAATAGAGGGAAACGGCAGTCTCACGGCATAACCCCGAGAGGGAAATTAGAATAAGAGTAAGAGCGAGTAAAGAACGATGTTATGTTTACCGGCGGAATGTCGGCCTCACTTTATTGTAAATAAGAGTGTAAATAGACAGTGCAATTAGGGTAGGATGTACACAGAGAGTAGCGATTCGCTCCGCCACATTCCCACCCCTTCCCTGACCGACCCACGGCTATCCCAGTCTAGGCGAAGGCAGAACTGATCACAGGCAGTCAACGGCAGCCAGATGCAACGAACATTTTAATTGTAAGAATGGCAACCGAGTAATTCAGGACCATTTTATTAACCCCCCTCTAGGCACAACAAAGTGTATTGTATTTATGAGAATCTTAAAATAATCAAGGCTGGTGTCCCACAGGGAAGTGTATTGGGGCCAGTCCTATATCTACTTTATATTAATGCTGTGCCAACTACATCGAACAGTACTATAGCCACGTTTGCAGATGATACAGCAGTCATGGCAGTAGGAGAGACTGTTGAAAGCTCAACTCAAGGCTGGTGTCCCACAGGGAAGTGTACTGGGGCCAGTCATATACCTACTTTATATTAATGATGTGCCCACTATATCGAACAGTACTATAGCCACGTTTGCAGATGATACAGCAGTCGTGGCATTCGGAGAGACTGTTGAAAGCTCAACTCTAGGCCGGTGTCCCACAGGGAAGTGTACTGGGGCCATTCCTATACCTGCTTTATATTAATGCTGTGCCAACTACATCGAACAGTACTATAGCCACGTTTGCAGATGATACAGCAGTCATGGCAGTAGGAGAGACTGTTGAAAGCTCAACTCAAGGCTGGTGTCCCACAGGGAAGTGTACTGGGGCCAGTCCTATATCTACTTTATATTAATGCTGTGCCAACTACATCGAACAGTACTACAGCCACGTTTGCAGATGATACAGCAGTCATGGCCGTAGGAGAGTCTGTTGAAAGCTCAACTAAAGGCTGGTGTCCCACAGGGAAGTGTACTGGGGCCAGTCCTATATCTACTTTATATTATGTGCCCACAACATCGAACAGTGCTATAGCCACATTTGCAGACGATACAGCAGTCACGGCAGTAGGAGAGACTGTTGAAAGCTCAACTCAAGGCTGGCGTCCCACAGGAAAGTGTACTGGGGCCAGTCCTATACCTGCTTTATATTAATGCTGTGCCAACTACATCGAACAGTAATACAGCCACATTTGCAGATGATACAGCAGTCATGGCAGTAGGAGAGACTGTTGGAAGCTCAACTAGAAATGTACAATTAGGTTAAACAAAGTCGCCCTCTGGACAACAAAATGGCGAATTGAACTCAACGGAGTCAAATCAGCACGTATTGACTTTACAAACAAGAGGATTGCACAACAATCAATCTTCATCAATGGCACTCAAGTTCCATGCGCCAACACAGCGAAATATCTTGGAATTACTCTAGACGCCAAGTTACGGTGGAAAGAGCATATCGAGAAAAAACGTAATGAGCTCAACAATAAGTTCAGAAAAATGTATTGGTTGCTTGGACGCAATTCTGAGCTATCAATCCGCAATAAACTTACATTATACAAACAAACTCTACGTCCAGTTTGCAGTTATGGTATCCAGCTCTGGGGCTGCACCAGTGAATCCAATATTCAAGTGATTCATCGCTATCAGAACAAAGTGCTGAAGTGTATTGTCAGCGCACCAGGGTACGTTCGTAACAGTGACCTTCATCGTGACCTTGGGATCGAGACAGTTACAGATAGCATCGCTAAGTCCGCCACCTCATGAAAAGAGACTCCAAAACCAAGTCAAGATTGAAGCGTCCAGACTTCTCAACGTGAACAGTATCATTACACGACTCAAACGGAAGAAACATTTCGAACTAGTTAAATGTTAAAGTACTAAGTAATTCAGTGGAAGTGACTTAGTTTTAATTTACGTAGTATATTAGGTTTAGAAAAAATTAATCGTTAGTTATCCAACTAGTTTCAATCGTAATTAAGTTCTGCGTTACCCAGTCTTTAATTAATACATAAAAATTTATGAGAATAGGGTTAGATTCCCGATGAGGTAATTGGAATTTTTAATTGACCTAATTCTTCCAGCCGCAATATAACCCTGGGGCCGACTCAGCCTCTAGCAGAAATGAATATCAAGAATCTTCCAGGGGTAATGGGCGGCTGGACGGGGCGTAAGGCTGACAACTTCACCGCCATCTGTGAGCCGATTGTCTAGAAAATGTGGGAATCTCAACATCTCACAACCCCATGGGTCTTAGCGGTGTTTTACAGGGATATCTTTACCTTTATCTTATGTTCATGGTTCACTGCGGGGAATTTTGTGATGAGTGACTCGAACCAAGGTTCGTTTTGACAATAACATTAAATTTCTTCTTCAGGAAGACAAGTGTCATTCTTTCAAGAAAAGATCATCATCATCATCAGTAATCTGTCAGACGACAGGTCCACATTTTCTTCCAAAACAATTCCTCCACTTAATGCGATCTAGAGCTTTCTCCTTCAAATGACAATATCCTCTTCTATCCCCAAGGTCATCCAGCATCTTCTTATGTCTTCTTCCTCACCTTCTTGTCACTTCTATCCGCCCCTCTATCTTTCCTTCAATAACTTCTTTTAGAATGCAGTTTCTGCGTAAAACATGACCAATCCAATTAGCTTTCCGTTTTCTTATTTCGTGTAGGATATTCCTCTGCTCACTGACTCTAATTAACACTTCTTCATTTCTCACATAATCAGTCCAAATGATCTCCATCCTTCTCCAACACCACGTTTCGAAACTTTCCAGATGTTTCTGATCTATTGCCCTAAGTGTCCATGTTTCAGCCCCATACAGAGCTATGCTCCAAATGTAGCATTTCACTAGTTTCTTCCTCAAATTTAAGTCCAATTTGCTGGTACAAAATTCTTCTTCTTGCTAAATGCAGCTTTTGCCATGGCAATCCTGAATTTAATTTCGCTAGTACACCTTCCATCATCTGTTAACAAGCTACCCAAATATTTAAAACATTTCACATTCTCCAGTTGTTTTTCGTCTATCTTTAATGTGACTGGGGTTGGTTGTCTCGAAATGTTCATTATTTTTGTTTTTTCCACATTCGTTTCCATGCCATAACACCTTCCACTTTCAATTAGTCTATCAATCATACCCTGTAGCACAGTTTCTTCCTTACTCATTAACACAAGGTCATCTGCATATTTCACAGTTTGAATAATTTGCCCTCCTAATTTGAAATCTCAGAGCCCATTGAGCCGTGTCCCTTGACCCTGTGGGTAAAGAACCACGTTCTTCTACCCACTTTGAGCCGTGAATCCCTACTCTATATGAGTAAGGGACAGGCTAATAAGAAACGACTTGCTTGTAGCGTGATGCACTATGCCTCCCAATGATTGTGTAAGGGATCTCGGGGGAGGAAAATCACAGTCGGTGCGATGGGCCAGGCTGGACGGATCCGCTAGGCAGGAGCTGCTATGGAACTTACGGCGCAAGTATACATATACTCAACTGGTGTTCTCAAACATATAAATAAACATATATTGATAACATAAGTATACAAAGAACTCCGCCTGAAGGGCAGTAACTTGTTAAAACATGTGATAGATAATTAATACACACTTGCGCTGTGTTCAACAGCACAGCAACTCAATTAGGCCACGCCTCATGGCGTATTGCAAACTCTCCAGTACAACATGTACTCGATCAAGCCTTCGTAACACCAGGAAAGAGAGACAGCTTGAAATACTACAGAACACGCCTGAAGGGCAGTGACTGTTTATCGCAAACTTGGACAACCAAAATTACTCTACGCCACCCGGCATATATAATCAAACCAAAATGCGCCTTACGGCGTACATTACCCTAGTAAGTCACTCACTTGTATTCTTGGATATACAACTCAAAGATTTACCTCACGACTGATCCACCCTTGACCATATCGTGAGGGCACTCTTCTCCCTTCGATCAGTGCTGCGGGCCGAAACCAAATTTCAAACACAATCAATTCAACTTGCCGAAACCAAATTTAAACGCAGCGATGTTTCCAGGCGAAGGTCAATGGGAAGAGAGAAAGATTAGCTCCACTTCAGCTAAGCAAGAAACCTCGGTCTAAGTCCAGGAGGGGGGGAGACAAGGTCAGCTGACCTGACGTCAGTCAAGGACGTTAGTTGGAAAGAAGGGAACGGCTCGAATCCTGGCGTTTCGGGGGGGGACTCCAAGGAACTTAACGGAGAAGAACCGTTGCACGGTTCACCATCCAGAGCTTCCTTGGTAAGGCATTCGCTGTACAAGTTGAACAGATCTGGTGATAAACAGCATCCTTGTCGAACTCCTCTTCCAATCTGCACACTTCTTGTCTCCCCTCTGTCCAGTCATACTCTAACTTTCTGATCCATGTACAATTTGCTAATCAGTCTTCTTTCACGCCAATCGATACCTGTTTCCTTTAGGATCTGCATTAATTTGGTCCAGTTTACACGGTCAAATGCCTTCTGTCAGTCTCTGAAGCAAATACACAGTTCAAGGAAAGACATTACACATAAAATAAAAGGTAATAATAATTATGATAACAATAGTTACGAGTCACGTTAACATTACGAGTAACATGAAAACTTGAAGCCGTGTGGGGAAAGTAAGTGTAATACAGGGTTATTCATAAGTCCGTGAATCATTTAAAAAATTCACTGCAAATAAATTATGCATCGGATCATGGTAATTCTTACGTCGATAGAGAATGAATCTTTCCAAGTTTTTCTAAAAGCCTCCATTGCCCGCTAATCTCAGGGATCTTCGCAACCGTATCACCGCTGCTGTGGCTCTGGTCAACCGTGATATGCTGACACGGGTGTGGGACGAAACGGATTATCGCATATATGTCTGCCGTATCAGCAAAGATGGACATATTGAGTATCTGTGAACTGTGTAAAACGAACTTGGTGAGTTATCTCTATTTCAGTGTAATGAAAATTGGTATCCGTTGCGTAGTTTATTTATTGCAAATTTTCAAAATGTTTCACGGATTTATGAATAACTCTGTATATGTGTGTTCTGACGAACTGTTAACCAGACTGTCCCATATTTGAGAAGTAATGAGCGAAATGCATTCGTGTCAAAAAAAAATATTTTTTCGTCACTATTTTGAGTGTAGATTATTTGTAAATGGCGCAGGTTGCCTTAGGACATTCGGGCTGTGCTGGAAGCCCTGAGGTACGGAGAACAATACCCTGGTCACATTCGCCGCGATCCCAACAGAAAAATAGCCCGGGTGTGCTCAAGAGCCGGTCTGGACGACATATACTCGTAGAATTGAAAATTCTTGCCACCACTGGGATTCTAACTGCGACCCCTGATTGTCCAGCCCGTAGCCAGTCGCTATACAGACTGAGCTAGACCGGCAAGCAGGTTCTAATATTAACCTGCTTGAGAATATGCTGCCGTTTTGTGTACCTAACACATGCATCTTTATAAAAGTCTGTAGGGATACATGTGTCAGGTGTACAGAAAGACAGAAAATTCTCAACCAAGTTAATGTTAGAAGCTGTGATAATTTATTATAATAGGTTAAATATGTGGCTTCAGATAGTCGTCAAGATGTGGTGCTAACAGCCTCACACCGTAAAATATAGTGACATGTAGACCCGTTGCTGGGCAACGACTACGTAACCGTATTCCCGCGAAAACAAATACGCAGGCAATAGTCCAATAACTTATGTTGCTATGCAACGTGCTATAACTACAACACTAGAGGAAGATCTGTTTTCTATGGGCTCGCCAGGGGGGCCGTGCCATATCTCAAGCGGTTAGTCGCTGGCTTCCCACCGCGGCGACCCTGGTTCGATCCCGGGTCTGGTGAAGTGGGATTTGTGGTGGACAAAGTGGCGCTGGGGCGGGTTTTCTTCGAGTACTTCGGTTTCCCCTGCCAATCTTCATTGCACCAAATTCTCCATCATCACAATCACCCGGAGCAGGTACCACCCCACCCCCACACACTAAGCGAAATAGGCTCTCCAGTCGTAGTACAGGAACGAGAATGGAGCGAGTCCTAGGGGTAATAAGGAAGAAGGCTTCGGCTGAAGATTGATAGTGAGTTATTGTATTTGATTGTTATTAAGAGACATTATAAAAGATAGTTTTAATAAGTCCAGTCATCCAATCCAAAACACGTTATTACTAGTCACGGAGACATAACTTCGTGACAATACAATAATATGTTAACCAAGTGTCACACGTAACCTTCACATTAACGGTATGCTTAGTTCAATATGGGTCATAACGGAGGGTTCCTATAGTAGCCAAAAGCAAAGAAATTTCTTATGTAAGTTTCTCAAGAACGGCTATGCCCCATAGAGCTGATTCAGTGAGTTAGATGTGTAATAATATGAGGTGGGCTAAGTGTCCCCGCATGATTTCAGTGTATTATACTAACAGAACCCTCTTTCCATTTTCTGCATCAGGAAAACTCTGCTATGCCTCAAAATGGCGCAGCTCTTCCCAAATACAAAAGACGAGCAGGCACCGTTAGCCTACACGGAGAACTGTATGGGCCCAGGGTCGCTTCGTATCTCTTCGCGAGAGGCCTCAACAGGACAAAGGAATTTTACTTGGCATCAAACATAGATGGCGCAGCGGGAGTTTTTGATGACTTGGTATTTAGGTACAAGCCGGAAGAAGAGGATATTTGGAAGACATGTTTCATACAACTTAAACATAAGAGTAGAGACTACACAGTTCCACGTACCAGCCTGAAACAGCTGTCTGGAGATTTCAGTTTGTTCAAATATTTTGAATCCTATTGTGATATTAAAAGGCATGTTTGTACAGACCGTAATCTAAAACTCTGCGGTGCATTTGTTGAATTTGAATTTGTAATATATACCAATGCAAGGTTAGAAAGTAATTCTGTAGTAAAGTTAGATGATAAAAATCCAGTGAGCATATTGTGTTCAGGGCCAAACTGTGGTGACTATACAACTTTTGACGAGAATCACGACAAAGATATTTTCGAATTTTTTCAAGAACTGTCACAATATTATCAGTTCATTTCAGAATTGAGCGATCTACTGAAGAGGGAAGCGTGTGAGGACAAAGACATGTTGAGTAGGATAGAGAAATTTCGGAACTCTGTCACCAGCGCAGAGATATCAGGAAAACTGAACAATTTGAAATCTGATCCGAGAGTCTTAGAGAAGTTTATGAAGGAATTAGATAAATGCGATTTTTCATTATGCACAGAATTCTTGCGGAAGGTGAAAATATTCCATTGCCAATCAAATGAAAAATCTCTCGAGACCTTAATTAAAGAAGAACTACGGGAAGCTTGTCAAACATCAGATCAATGCAAGAATTCCATCTACAAAATATTTCAAGAATTTTTGATGCAATGGTGGGAAAGAAAGGGAAATACCGAGTGGCTGAGCAAGCGTTCACGTGTCTGGCAAAGTGTGAAAGAGAACATAATTAAGAAAATAAAGCTAGAAGCGAAAGCTGAACTTGAAGAAACTCAAGGATACGGCATACGTTTTAATAAACAGCATATAAAGCGATTGGCTGACACCATAAAACACAGCAGTTTCTTGAACATAATCACCGATACAAATGTTGGTTCCATATCCAAATTGCAAATTTATGAGGCTCTCAATTCCATTTGCTGCAAAAACTCATTATTTGTTTCTTTGAAATCGTTGTTGAAACGACGTAAGGAAATTCTAAATATTTGGCCATGCAAATGGAGTACTGTACTGGTCATTGACTGTACACGAGGCTCTGACAGAGTTGACGTGAATGTCACCAATATTCTTCTGGACTATTTGCGAAAACCCCATAAACAACTGATCTTGATTTCGCAACGTAAGAATCAGAATTTCGCTTCACATCTTCATCAGAATTTAGGACATATTTGCAAGTATGACGAATATTCAGATGACTGCAACCTTTTAGATTTGGATGATGAATCGCAAGAACAAATTTTGGAAAAAACTGTTAATTTTCAAGGAAAAGAACTCTCATTGAAGGAACTGATAGGCAACGATCCTCATGAAAATGTAAAACGTAATATAGACTCACATGTTATGTCCCTCCTGTTGAGTAGTGACAAGAAATATAATATTGGTAAAAATTTGGGCGAGCCTTCAGATTTCTATGTCCCACGTTCATTGGACCATCGAATATATCTGAATGAACATATTATGAGAACGATAGACAATGCCAACACGTTTGTTGTCACTGGTGTAGAGGCGCACCAACTGAGAAATTACCTACCTGCAGGAGAGAAGATATGCAAATTTAAATTTCATAGTAGGAAAAATTGTAGCTGTTTCAAAGTTGTTAATGGTTTCACTACATCTGACTTTAACGCTAAATTAGGCGATGAGAAAAAACGTCATAATATGTGGCAGTCAAGTAAACCAGAGAACGTTAGGTTCATTATTCTTGGGGAAAAACATCCAGAAATTGACTTCAGTGTATTGAAAGATTTGTACAGCAAAGTGCATTGGGTTCAGATGAAGGACGGTTCCTTCTTATGGAGAGAGTCCAACTGTGACATTGGGGACATCCGGAAGTATATTGACAAGACAAAATATGAATCGTATAGCTCCAGAAATATAATGGAACATAGAGATAATGTCTTGCTGCTGGCAGCAGAACCAGGAATGGGAAAATCCACATTTCTCTCCTTCATGGAGCATGAGTTGAAAAAAATTAACCCATCAATATGGGTACTAAGATTGAATCTTCATGAACACACGTGTGCATTGGAAGATATTGAATTTGAAAAGGAATGCATCGACAAGTGCGAGAACTTCCTATGGAATGCTGCCCACTCACCTGAACAGGATGGTTTGAAGTTTGCTGAAACGATATTCCGACAAGCACTGGAGCAGACAGGGAATATGGTAGTAATACTAGATGCTTTCGATGAAATCAGCCCAGATTACAGTTGTAAGGTCGAGAAGTTAATCAAGGAAATAAGAGAGAGAATGAAATCAAAGGTTTGGGTTTCATCTCGTTTCTCATACCGTGTGAAGTTGGAGGATATCATGACGAGATTTGCTTTTACATTACGACCCTTTACCCAAAAAAATCAGATCAGTTTCTTGGAACAGTACTGGAGCAGAAAAATCAAGAGACCGAATTCGACCAGCCTACGGGATTTCGCACAAAAGTTAATCAGATTGTCTTCGAGAAATTTCAGTGATAAAGATGGGCAGTTTACCGGTATTCCTTTGCAAACAATGATGTTGGGAGAGGCTTTCACGAAAGAAGCTGAAAATTACTGCTCAAGTGGGAAGGTTAAAATGCCAGACAATTTTAATTTGCTTGCCTTATTTAAAAATTTTACGGAGAAGAAATGTGATATATACTTCAAGGAGAAAAATTTAATGGATTGCTCAAAACCCAAAGCAAGAAGAGACAAAGAGCTCTACATAAATAAACACAAGATTTCAGCCTTAATGTCATTGTTTTCCTCGGATGAACTGAACCGACTGCTGAAGCCAGGAAATGCCCACGATTTGCAAAGCACTTCGGAGTTCCTGAAGAGTGGAGATGCACAGCGGATTGGAATAATAACCGAGTTTATGGACAGCAAACCGAGGTTCATTCATCGCTGTTTCGCGGAATATTTTGCTGCCAGTTGGTTCGCTGAAAGTTATGCAAGCCATAAAAGCTTCATTTTAAACCATCTTTTCAACTCTCCATTCGAGGTAGTACGGAATATTTTCGATCGAATTCTTGCTGAAGACATGCCTCTGCACGTTGCTGTTTTGAACAATGACATAGAAGCTGTTGATCAGTTGCTGAAGAAGGAAACAGATGTACACTGTGCAGACAAGGGTGGTAGAACAGCTTTACATCTGGCAGCCACCTACAACCGTGCAGTCACGCAAACATTATTATCAGTCCCAGGGGCTGACGTCAACGCAACGGATAGAGTTCTGAAATGGACACCGTTGAGGTATGCTGACAGAACGAGATCGTGGATGGCTATGGATATCTTGTTACAGGCTGGTGGAAAAGCCGAAGACGCTGTATTTACTAGCAAAAACGTTAACGACGAGGAGTGGGGACAGGCGGCGCTGTGGCAATGTGCGCAGAAGGGATACAAGAAGTTACTGGAGTTCATGATGGACTCTGGCACTGATGTCAATACCGCTGTACGAGTTCGTGGAAATCTCCGACAGAGAAACACACTCCTCCATATAGCATCACGTTACGGTCAAGTGGAAATTGTAAGATTTCTGCTAGAAAGGAGCGCTGACAATACGTATTGCGTCGAAAACAACACGGCTATGCACTTCGTAGCATTCACGAATGGCGTCGGTATTAACACCTTACTGCCAGATAGAGCGGCGTCTGCCAACGCGACAAAGACTTTGACCAAAAGAAGAGCTGCTTTAGACAAAACAAATGGAGAAGGCGAAACTCCGTTAATGCTGGCTGCTTACAGTGGCTGGTTAGAAATAGTCAGTTTACTTACGCACAAAGGTTCGGACATAAATTTATGTGTGGCTCACAAATCTGCTTTGCTGTCAGCAATTGAAGGGGGACATTTGGATATAATAAGTTTTTTACTGGAAAACGGTGCTGATGTTAATGCCAGATATACTGCCTTGGGACTTACTGCATTACAATTTGCAACGTTGAGGCAGAAATTGCCAGTAGTGAAATACTTAATTGAAAGAGGTGCCGATGTAAATCTCTGCTCACGTAGTGAACTGAGGAGGTCAGCTTTACACTTTGCAGTGACGGTTGGTAATTTGGAAATTGTGGACTGCTTACTGCAGGCCGGTGCTGATTTGAACGTCCGCGACGACATGGGACAATCTCCCCTCTGCCTCGCTCTTGGTTTCAGTAAAACTGAAATAGCCATTCGTTTGATCAGAGGAGGCGCAAATGTAAATATACCTGATTTTAATCAGCTCACGCCTCTACATTATGCTGTAGTTCGAGACAATTTAGAATGCACAAAATTCCTGATACAATTTGGTGCTAATGTAAATTACCAGGGACCTGCAAATACCACTGCACTTTTATGTGCTACTAACCTGGAAAGGATAAGCATAATTAACGTTCTGGTCGAAAACTATGCCGATATTAACCTTCGGGATGACTCGGGACACACTGCATTGCATGTGGCTGTTGATAATGGCAATCTGAGTCTTGTACATTATTTGCTAGACAGGGGCGCTGATATTAATATCCCGAATAACACAGGGGAAACCCCGCTACACTGGATGCTTCAAAACGGTTGGGATATTCTGGTCTGGCACTTACTTGCGTACACAGGTAACAGACTGTTCTTCGAATATGTAAGCGAACAATTCAAACTTTTCTGTACATAGAACATACGAGTATACCTAATTGTCACTAAAGGCCAGAGTTAAAAAATAAGGTGAAGCTGTCCCTGTGCTTAATCAAACACAATGTTATAAAGACGTATGGGGGAGTGAAAGTATACCTCCACCTTTCGTTATACGGACTGAGCTGTCCAGACGAGAGAGGCAGAGCTATTTAACTTATTTAATTTTATCAGAGGCAGTCTTGAAGGGCCAACTTCTTGTCGAGTTCGTACGATGTTGGTGTGCGATTGTCACCTTTTTATATAAATGCTACGTCTACGATATGTTGCGACCTTGTAAGTTCATCTTGAGGTACATAACTTTACGTAATTGCTCTACTGTATTGTATTTCCTAGTTCTAAAACGTGATTAAAACTAGTTCGAATTATTGTTTAATTTTGTTAAAAAATAATCAAACATACACCTTTTTGAAGTGATAATCAGTTGCCGATAAAATGAAATCAACAAATTCAGTTTTTGAGGTTGTTTCGGGGCTGCTGTAACATGAGATTCACTTCCTTGCAACGTAACTTTACGTACGCCAAGTCGACCCATGTACCCTTTTGAAGCATTCGCGATATTGGATCAAGAGCCAATTGGGAGTAAACGATGGCAGTGTTCCTGCATATTTGAAATAACAACTTCACTTCATACTTACGCCACGAACTTTAAAAATAAGTGTCTGGATGTCGGCTAAGGTGTACACTGCACTGCACACCGAAATATTAAAGTTCATTTGCTCTCATTTCCACGCCCTATAATAGTACTGCATTTTGTTTCCGTGGAAACAACATAACGACATATATTGCATATTTAAAATATATATTGTATTATTGATTGCACGTATTATATAACTAATATAATGTGTTATTTCATGTTATTTTTTTTTCAACTGCGTCACTAAATGCGGAGTAAGGACAGGAATTTCTATATATTTTCTTTGTTCTCATTGTCACTCCTGCTTTGAATCTGTATTCTTTTGTATGTTAATAAAATATATATATATGCTCTTTTATGGCAATAAACATATTTGTGCCTACATCACGAACATGCCATGTTCCATTCCCGCAGGCTGGTCTCGAATTAATTATTCTGGTTACGGCGTTACAGTTAAAGGTCTTTTGACTTATACATTATGTTGAAGGGAATCAGTTCATTGTTGAAAATAGTGTTATGTTATAACCTGTAGGATAACATTATCATCATGAATTAGATCGTGCATTATTTGCTCCATTCTCTTCAAGAATATGTTGGTCCCATCTTAACTCTGGTCGCCCTACGTTCTGCCAACTTTTAGGGTTTTATGTTAAAATTTTCGCCGATAACAGTGGCCGCGGTGTCTAAGGCATGAACTGTTTTCGTCCGCTCGAACGCTGGGATCGTGGGTTCGAATCCCACTTAAGACATGGATGTCTATGAGCGTTTATTCTGTGTCTATGCTGTCCTGTGTGCAGGTAGCGGGCTTGCGAAGGGCTGATTCCCACTCCAAGGAGTCTTACCGTCTGTGTAAAATCTTAAGAAACTGATAAAACTGCCAAGGCCCAATAAAGGGTCTTAGTATCATTAATGACTGAATGAATGTTAAAGTTTTCTTATGAAATCGTCTGTCCTCCATTCGTAGGTTGTGATGTTCCCGCTGCGATCCGGAGTTTGGAATTTATTTACATGTAGATTAAAAATATTAAATTCTTACATAATTTTAACGTTTCTTATTTAATCCTAAAAATAAGGAAGAACTGAATTTGAACGTAAGCAGTTAGGACGACAAAGAGCCGCGAGTTGCTTACCTACATTCTCTGTTACTACACGGCAAAATGACGACGACCGAAAGTACCTTTTAAATATAGCGCTTCGTGTTCAGAGTGCATAAGAGCTGCCCTCCTTTAATCATTGCCCAAGCAAAGAAAGTTAATTTATTTTCTTACGCAAGAGAGGATAAATTTGTAAAAATATGGAGGAAGATTTAGGTGACATTTTCTATTTTCTGGATAGAAAAGGGTATCATTGTGCAATACCTAACCTCGTATCTGGTCTCTCCTCTGTCAAATCGATTGTGAAGTAAGAAGCCGTCTTACAAAAGTCGATTGAAACTTTATACACTCTCACAGTTACAAACAGGTGGACAACGTAATATTAAAAATGGACTTCAGTGTCTTGTAGATAGTTTCAGCTTTTTCCAACTTCAAATTATTCCCGAGAAAAGTACCTCAGTTTCTCCATGGCCCCCAGGGTGAAAAGGTTTTCGGCTGAACCCAATTACTATAAAAGATATAATAGAAAATACTGTAACACTTTTTTTATTGTTACTTAAATAGCAATCAGAATTATCATATTCTATAAGCTGTTGTGGTGACATTGGGCTACTGAGCCCGCCTATGGCAGGATGAGGGTCCTTCCACCGAAGGAGCCTCCGTTATTCACTTGAGGTCAATTGGAAGACGTCTTTTCAAGCGTCTATTTTTGGGTTCTTCCAGTAGCGGCTTTATCACGGCACTGTATATCAGGATTTTGTTTTCCAGGTTCAGTTGGGATTTTCTTCCTAGTAACCAGTATAACTCTTTAACTTTCGCATCGATGTGTTTCCTCTTTTTGACTATGTGTTCTTTCCAATTCAGTGTTTTATCTACGTGTATTCCCAGATAGCGCACTGTTGGTGATTCCGGTATGATTTCATTGTTGATGGACACTGGAGGACACAGTCCCTTTCTTAAAGTAAAAGCGATTTGCGTAGATTTTGTTTCATTTAATTTTCCATTTTTTGGTCCACTGTTCTAGGAGATGTAGGTGGTGTTACAGGTGCTCTGAAGCAGTTTCTGAGTGTTCATGGCTGGATAATATTACTGTGTCATCTGCGAAAGTGGCAGTTATTGTATCAGCTGTCGTCGGTATGTCTGATGTATATAGTAAATAGAGTACTGGGCCCAATACACTACCTTGAGGTACGCCAGACTTTATTGGAAAGAGATTTGACGTTTCTCCGTTGACTTTAGTTCTGAACTGGCGGCCATTTAGGTAGGACCTGATCAGCTTGAAATATGTCGGGAGTGTGTGCTTTATTTTATATAGGAGACCTTCATGCCAGACTTTGTCAAAAGCCTGGCTTATGTCCAGGAACACTGAAGGACAGAATGTGTAACACTTTAAAGCTCAGTGGTTAATATCTGTATCACCTGCTTAAACACAACAAAACTCCATATTCTGGGCACAATGTACAGTAAGCAGAGATCGTTTCCCTGAATAGCATTAACAGACTGTCTTTGTAGCGTAGACGTAATGCATTTCCGGTGAGGTACGAACTGATTGAACATATTCGCGATAAAGGACAAAATGAAGCCAGACGTAGAAAATATAAGAGGCTTAAACTTTGCGGTGGTCAAGCTTACGACCGTTCGAATGACTAAGCTGCTGTTGTGGCATAAGATACGTAAGATAGGCATGATCGGCTCTGTAAAACCTGCATTCGCAGAGGAATTGTGTGTAGTGCAAAAGGAAGAATTTTAAATAACATACTCTATGTGCGAAATGTACATTTGATGAAATTGCAATCATATTCATAAGAGACAAACTCATCTTCTCGTCAGAGAGGACGTAAGTACTGTAACCGCAAGGGTTCAGTTGAAAATTTTCTGGTACTAGGGCTCAAGGGGCTTGAAGCCAAGACTGATTGGCGGTAAACCACCAGTCGTAAAGTAACCTCGACTTTGGGCATTTTAAAGGCCTGTGAATATAGGAACAATTGATAAATTATGTCTAAAATGCCTAAGTCAAGGTCCCAGACTCTGAATTTCAATTTAACATGTATAACTTTGAAAAGAAAACATAGATAAATATAACAAACTAATTAACACTGTGGCAACAGAAGCTGACGGTTCAACGTCGCTGACTGGACACAATTCTGATCAGTTTCATCCAGATCTCACGCTTATCACTTGTATCCGTAATGTCCATCTTGAAATTTCAAATGGACGATTTCCAGTAGGTTTTACTACCACAATTCTTCATTTTGCACTCATTATGTCTCTCGCCCAAGTAATATTTGCAGCCTTTCGCAGCTTCATGGAGTGTCAAATATAGATGTCTACGAGTATATAGCATCCCGACTAAGAATGTATGGAGCTTTATCTCTGTCTCCCCATACGTCTTCGTGATATTAAGCAGCTTATTAAATAGCGGCGGACTGAATAGGGAACGCCTTGCCGAAGGATTACTTTGCCCGCCGCTATGCAACGCATCTCTTGTTGCCGCGGGAGTACATTTAATTACAAATAACGGCGGAAACCAACTGTTAGACTTTCATCTCGGGAGCAACGATGTCCTAGGCACTGCTGCCTAGGAATTGCTAGCCGTTGACTAGTGATATATGTCTTATCGTCCGGCCTTCCTGGCGGCACTTCACAATATTAATGATTAAATTTTCTGTTCAACATTGCAACACTCGCAGCTAAGAAGAGAACGCACATCACAAGACACGGTTTACACAGAATATAGGGAAAACGACCTCCATAGTGGAAGAACCACAAGCAAGGTTTAATTAAGACACATAAGATTAATAATCTTAACAAGTTTTAGTGTGTGTAAATTTATTATAGTTGACAAATACGCGCTTTTAAAATACTGTGACATGTTGCGCAATGGAGGACAGTCCCTCCCTCCCCCAGCAGTGACGTGGCAGCTCTGGCCACGGTGAGGTAGCCCTTGGGCTATGTGGCACCGCTTCCTACTGTGACGAGGCACGCAACGCGCGGTGACGTAAGACGGCGTGAGGTAACAGCGGTAAAGATCACGTAACAGGCAAGCGATGCGGCTATATAAGGAAATTACACAGCCGCCGCAGGGAGTTAAAGTGTATCAGCGGCCGAAGACAGTTCTCAAGGCAGCAGTTACGAGTTACGAGTGGGCCAGGAAAGAGTGTGCAGTCTAATATTTGTAATACTGCAGATAGCAGTAATTGTAGATCTGTAAATTGTGTGACTGTAAGAGCGAATGTGAAATAAAATTCGCTATAGTCAATACGGCGTGAAGTTATTTGTTGCGTTATACCCCCAAAACGTGACAATACTTTTAAATAGTTTTATAAAGACATATAAAGGCAAGCAATGCAATAGATTAACGTAATTAGGCACCTGATGACGGCACTATGTTGCCGAAACATGTCGTGAAGTAACAGGTGAAACTGAGTGCACTACAAGACGGCCACTGTATACATATCATGGCAGTAGAGATAAATTACAAAATTAATATGATCGACTGAGGTTTAACATTGTTTTCCCCAGCCTCTCTAAAAATCACGGATAAAACTTTTACTTACGCCACGACAACTGCTTTCCATCTCCTTTCTAATTCAACATTCATATATCATTCTAACGTTCGACGCTGTTTGCTCTGCATATGGACAACGTCGTGAAACATATCCCCCCCCCCAAAATATTGTCACGTGTTGGGTGTATGTCACGCGACAAGTAACTTCACGCCTTATTTGATATAGCGAATTTATTGAACACTCGCTCTCACAATCACATAATTTACAGTCTCACAATTACTGCCATCGGCAGTATCACAAATACTTTTCCTGTAGTCACTGCCATGCACTCGAAACAACCCGGCTCGGCGACTGCTAGATTGCAGCTGACTGGTTACTCTCTCTTTAGTAGCTCAGTCGCTCGTAACTGGCTCAATCCTCCCTAATCACTCACTACTCACTAACTAATCACTCACTACTGAATAGTGTTCGCTGTTCCTTATTTAGCCTCGGCACGGACAACACAGAAAACAGTTACGTGACAGGTACCGCTCTTGCCTGACGCCGTGTTTACAGGTGTTGCCAGCAACGATGTCTGGAGTTCTTTACGTCTGTGTAGTAGTCGCGGTATCCCTTGGTAACAACACCGCGGCAGTGGTTGCCTGACACAGTTGCTCCTCTGTTACGTCACCACGGGGGAGGGGGTGTTTA